ATATATATATATATATATATATATATATATATATATATATATATATATATATATATATATATATATATATGGTACACATATTGTGCCATAGGAATCGTGGTGGAATGAGAAAACAGGATAGGAATAAGAACATGCTCTTTTTGCCTAGTTTTCTTCACTCGCAGTGTTCGAGTTTTTTATTTTCATTAATTACCTGTTTCATCATGGTAGGGAAATCATCGCGACGCGCAGAGACACATGCCGCCATTGACATCGGTTTTGAGCCACGACTTCTAGAGTTACTAACCAGCGACAATCTGTATCTCAGAAATCCCAAACATGGAGTCCAGAACAACCGACCGAGGCCACTGTTTCGTCAGCTTTTTTATGCGGCTTCTCGAAGTTGTAGGTTGCCCACCGCGCCGCCTCCTGTATCCCTGTCCAGCAAACACGAATAATGCCCGAAGCGGAAGACGATGAGCGGACATGCGCAATACGTGTCCAAGCCACCGCAGCTGACGCAACGGGGGGGAGCTACTCTAGAGAGTGACTGGTTCCACCCAAAACACGGTGTCTAACTTCCGCATTGCTTACGTGGTGCAGCCACCACACATGGGCAATGGACTTCAAACAACTATACGCGAAGATAAACAGCCAGCGCAGATCAACCGTAAGAAATGGGCGATGCCTTGCAACTGTACAACAGTACAGCGCGGACAGTCGCACAACAAACCGGCACTTTGATGGACAGACGGATGTCATGGTGGCGCCACAAGTGCCTCAGCCTAGAGAAATCGAGACAAGCACTTGAGATCAGCGTCGTAATCTCGTCTCCAATAGCTCCACCGGTAGTCATGCAACTTCCCAGATAGACAAAACTCTTCATAACCACCAGTGTCTCACCACCAAGTGAGTGCAGGTACAGGCATCTGAGAGTCTTGAAAAAGAACTTGCACTTTGATGGGGAAAAGTGCATGCCATACTTCGACGCTTCAATCGCCAAGCGGTTAAGTGCAAGTTGGACGGCCTGTGGACCGTCACTCAGCAAGACGATATCATCAGCGTAATCTAACTCAACATTTCGGCTACCTGGAAGGAGCTCAACGGAAGCGCACAACGAATCTTCCAGAGCATTTTGAGAAGATCCTCAGTGGTAAAATTTAAAAGGAGTGGGGAGATAGTATATATATTTATGTATTTGTTCACAGTCTGTTACCAGATGTTGTGTCATCAGAACCATGGCATAAAAAAGTGAAGAAGATGGGAACACGAACTGCGATAAAAAAGGGAAACGATTTTTTCGGCCTTACACGTGCCATTTTGTATGTTTTTGTTTTGTGAGTTTTGTGTGTATTAAACGGGGGATATAATGGCAAAACAACATTAACGCCACTGATGTCTGTTGCGGGCCATAACGTCTAATGTTTCCAACCACTGCGATTCAGCATCTCGTGGTCCTCAAACCTGGAAGACGGACTGGTCCGACTGCCGCCAAACGTGAGGTTGCCTTCTTCATGCTCCTTCTCCACGTCATTGGCTGTCCACTGTGGCACTTATTCCAATCGCTCCCTGGAAGTGCAAATAACGGTCGACGTGGAAGGCGATGGACCCGAGCCAACGCATGCGATGTCGGAGAATAACGTCCTGAAGACTGGCATTATTCGCTCCAAGCACGCGGTCTCGCACCTCTGCGTTGTTTACGTGGTGTTGCCACCATCACCACTGGTGTCGGCAAGGGAAGGCGAAAGCTTGTCATAGGTCCTAACTCTACCCGGAGTCAGACTGTACATAGCACGCAGTACGGAAACTGACTTCCCGGGGAAGCGATTCCACAACAGATAGTACCACAATGCACTCCTGTCGACAGAATCGAAGGCAGCACGGATATCCAGGAACACAACAACCGTCGGCCTTTGGTACATATGTTGGATCTGGGGATTTGGCGGAATGTGAAAATGTAATCGATGCAGCTATGACTAAGGCGAAACCCAGCCTGTTCTTCCCGCTGTAGTGCCTCGCGAGTTATGGATAGCCTTTGAAGTATAATGGACACCAGAACATTACAAACGACGGGAAGCAAGCTGGTACACCTGTAATTGGAGCATATTGTGCGCAGGCTCTTTTTGAAGATAGGGAAAACTATAGACACCCCAAGATAATGGAACCGCCTCTTACAACCAGACTTCTGAGAACAAAGGAGTTCTCGAACCAGCGGATAGCCGCCATCCTTAGGGCTGGAGGTAATCCATCATGGCGGGATGCTTTATGGTGCTGCAAGAGGCGGAGTTCACGCCACATTTCCTGGTGAGAGGGAGGATCTGTGGGGATAGATTACTCATTACCAGTGGGCGCTCCAGGCAAAGTAGACAGAGCTGGCGGTCAGCAAAACTGCGAGCCAAAATATTCAACCCATCGTTCTAGCTGTCATAGAAGGTTAGTGATTGGTGGGCTATCCTCTTCGCAGATTGTTTCGCTTACACCAGATAGGAAACCTTCGGTGATTCGGATAAGATGGAAAAGTTTGCTGATATTGCCAGAGAGGCTATCGAGTCCCATCCAGGTAGCATGTTCACATCACTAGGTTTCACGGTCATTTTGTAAATTTCTGCGCAATTCTCGATCTAGGGATCGGCGTTTTCACTACAGTTGGCATCGACCGGGACCTAGCGGCGTCCGCCCAATAGCGACAAGGAGAAAGCAGTGACCCAGCCTTTCGGCAGGTGATGGGCAACTCTGAAACTGTCAATGGTGGCAGCAATGAAGGCAATTTTGATGCGCATCCACGTGAATGCAGATCGTCGTCAGAAGCTGGAGTAAGCAGTGTTGATAGGGACGCCCGGTATTTGGCTAACGTTGAAGGGTCTTGTAGATTTTCTACGCTTGGTCGGTAGTGCGTACGCCTAGTCGATCATCCGAAACGCATAGGTAACTTTGCGCGAACCAATGCGTGATCGGAGTCCAGAGAAGTTGGCCAGCACGAACCGAAGCTATCTGTGGCTTATTGCAAGGTCAACGATCACCAAATGATCATCGAGGCACCTCCTTTGGGCCTGTGACATCACTGTGCATATATGACATGCGTTCGGCATCGGCAATCGAGGTTTGCGGAGGGATGTCCACGTTTGATGGCAACACCATGTTTGCAACAATGAAAATGGACACCGTATTTTGAGAACAGAAATGTGACGTGACTGAGTTTGTGTCCTTGTATGAATCAAAGTGACCAGAGTACATTTTATCTTGCGTACGTCTATATGCAGCGGCTTATTCGCTCGAACAGGACTGAAGTGGAAGAGACAGCGAAGTGACGACAAAACATGAAGACGCTGACCTCACGATTAACAACGGCGGGTATCGCGTGTGTATCAGACTAGGATCCCAAGAAAGAAGAATGTCAATGGCGTGAAGAGATTCATGGATTGGACTGTACATATATGTCTCGTGATCTAAGCAGTGTTAGAGGGAGCAGAAAATAGAAAAACGTTGTGTGAGAAGTGTCCATTTTCGTTAATGTTACCGAAGTGCTGCTTGACTTTCGTTTGCGTAGTATGGTTGTTTAATCAGGAATATGAAAGAGCATCGCATTCAGATCCCTGTTGGATTTCTTCAAAGGTGGGAAACAAACCATCGACATCTCAAGTGACCGGAGAAATGGTAACGACAAAGCAGACATGCCAAACGATCGCATAACAGGCATCAGCCAACATACAGGGTGAAAATTCCTTACTAAGCTTTCACTAATTTAACCCCCTCTTACGTGGACCCATTTTGTAGAAGTTCAGAAAGTAGTCGTTTGCCATCGACGGAACTCGTCTTCACTCCATGAGCTCCGAGCACCCATGAATATACCCATTTCTAAGGTGTTGCAAGCGTTGTGAAACGACCACCCAGTGGAAGAACATGCCACTAAAACTGAGCATAATAGTAGAAATTCATTTGCGATCGGAACCTTTCAAGCTAAACGAAGTGATGGTGTTCGATTTCATTCGACATGATGCACTGGAGACGAAGCGCATAAGCACTCAACTCATTAATCTCCTTCATCAGTGACTGTTGAAGCTCGAAGTCAAAGTGGTGAAGAGGACACGAGAACACAGAGTTCAGGTGACGAGTGAGAAGCTGTGCATGTGAGCGATTCGTTGAAACCCAATGCATGAGAGGACTAAGTTATGACTGGAACCTAGGGAGGCAATAGCCCGATTGATTTATACCAACTAACCTTCGTGCTTTACGCCAACGGAGCTGAGAGCATAACTTAGTTTGTATGGTGGACAATAAATAACTCCAACCTCATGTAAGGAGAAAGTTAAGACCAAGTTAGCCAGGATCGCTGACTAATGAACTGGTTGGGATAAATGGTCCTGCAAGAATTCGAGAAATGTCAACTTGTATAGCTCAGTGGATCATGAAGTTGCAGAAACCTACGTACCATGTCAAAATTAGATCCAACCATCAGGGCGAACGATGTAGGAGTACTTCTGATTGCAAAAGAATCCATACTCTGTCAAAGTTGTGCCTAAAAGAGCGGTGGACGGTCTTCTACCGAAAAGTTGAGAAACATGCATATTACCAGAGAAGTGGAAAACGTGGACGGCAGAAAACAAAGTAGGTAAGAAGATTATCTAAGTTAATTCAGTTCGAGAAGTAGGAATCTGTGGCGAAAAACAAAGCCATGTAGGCGCGAACCACGGTTAAGGCTGACACACTGCAACATATTTACGCACCGGAAAAATTAGCATATTTGACATGGACATGTAATAATAACATGGGAGTCGGGGGCTGAAGATCGAAGGAAGCGGCCAGTGGATAGAGCTACCAAGGTTTATATTGTTATAAATAGAAGCAACGTAACTTCAATTGGACAAGACAAGATTACGCAAGCATCAAATGAGCAACACTCAAAAGATGCACCGAAAAGCTCCAATACGAAGAGAGAGGGAGGAGGCAGACTTACGCGAAGCAGAGCCTCAACTGGTCCACCAGCATGAAAACAATTTGGGTAAGAATGAGAAGAAGTGGGTTTTGCTGAGTAGAAGAAGACTCAGCTCGATGGTTCCGTACGGACTGCACACACTGGACTCCAAAGAGAAGAACTAATTCTGAGTAAATGTGGGACAGATTGGCGAGGATAGTTCGGAAGGAAGAGTGCAGTTCTGAACCGAAAAGTGCAAATGAAGATGATGAAAAAATAGTAATAGCCACCAAATTGCTATCAAAAAACTCAGACTTGCAGCTATGACAAGAAAAAGCAAAAAACCGACATGAAATGGAGGTCTCCGTATAAGGCCCAAACCGGAAATTAATCAAGAGAGTGAAGTAAACGAGGAAAATGGAAATGTAGTTATGAAGTGAATCTGTGTTGCCTATACGCACCAGAAGGTGTGCGCATCGCGAATGTTTCGCGTTGTAGTTAGAACATGAGTATTCGCATAAATAAGGTCAGTGCCACAGAGGTCGAACCCTCAGGGACGGTATAGACGTCAAACGCGAATAAACGAAAAGATAGACACAGTAGCTCATCATCATTAGATAGCTAAAATGGGTAAACTGGGAGTTATAGGTTCGTGAACGACGTATAAAGCAAACAAACAATGTGTTGGCAGGTCATGACAGTCCGGTCGAGGAAGTCCGGCACACGAACAGGTATTCCGAAGTGAAGCGCATGCAGCACGTTTAAACCGAAACATTACTTTCGGTTCATTTATCAGGCATACTACAATGATTTAAGTTAAAAGAAGGTCAAGTTTAATAGGATAATACAGACGTTAGCCATTGACTAAACAGGAGACAGCTACTGAATTCGCATGTCAAAAAGTGAGACGGAAACACTTTAAGTGCAATAACTAGCCATCTGATCAAAACTGGGAATCAAGTTGACAAACGTGAGGCTTTCGAAATTCTGATACCATCCTAACCAACTCGCCAGTCGAAAGAACGACTGGTGGTTATCACTAGAGCGGTAAGAAGCAGATTAACAGGACCGAATGTTTATGTCCAAAAAAGCTAACTCAAGTATTTAAACATCTGTGGTCAGCAACGAAATGAGAGGAATCGGATCCCGTTCAACAACACCACATACCTCAAATCCCTGAGTACCTAACGCGCACTATAAGAACCTTTAATCGTTGTCTAATCAAATGGAATTGGTCATTTCGAACGTATATTCCCATAGTAAGCCTGACGGCAAATAAATCGAAAACATTGCTCAGGAGAGCGAGAGAGAGAGAGCAAACGGGTATTTCACATGAAACAGTAAAGGCTGCCGGCGGAAGCAGCCCGAGCGGCAAACTGTGTTTACGTTTGAGCAGACCTGGATGCACACTAGATCCTTAGGAGAATATTGAATAAAAAAGTCATTAGACCCCTACCTGATAACAGAGCGTTGATGTTAGCCAATGGACAATATGCGGGTAGCATAAGGTTCTGCTATGCTACGTGGATCTAGCTGATACTCTCCCACTTCTACTAGGCCGTTCATCGCCTGGTGTGAATTGATAGACAACGATGGCTCGGCAGTGTAGTGATAAAGCTTTTGGGGTGGGGGAGGGGAAGCCAATCCCAGCACATGACATAGTTGACGGTTGTTTACAATAGCCTCGTGCATAAATGTAGGACACAAAAAGGCACCAGTAGCCAAATCCCCATGTGTGAAGAACAGACTGATTCACTGAAACCCAGGGGTCTATAAAACTCAGTTTAAACAGACAAACATTGGCGAAGACATAATGAACCGAGGATCAATGGTGAGATGGATTAATTTTTATAACATACCAAACAATGATTCGGTTAGGCAACAAGAGGGAGAACAAATTGAGAAATCTGTACAGTAATTACAATAGGTTCGTTTCACTCGGTTTCAAGCGTGCTAGAACGACCAATCGACTGTCATAATGTGGGGAGTATGCAACCGTGGAAGCTTGGCAGCGCGAACATGAACAAATGCACGACTTGGCTTCCTGAAGGCTGATTTGAAAGAATCACATGCAGTGATTTGGGTGGTCTAACTACTCCTCCTGGTAGCATGTGATCTCACTCAGGGTGCGCGCCGAAGGCTCAGAGTAGCAGAGGAATGAAGAATGTGCTCAGTCATAAAATTAAGGAGAAGATTCAAGTATATGGATGGCTGAAGTAGTTGTAGTTTTGAAAATGACTATCAGTCAAATCTACAGTATTAACGGTTCACCAGGGTAGCGAGGTTGTGCAGCTAGATAACACGGTGATCCTACTCCGATGACCGGCCAAACAGCTTTTTCGATGACCATTGGTTCACATTGTGCATGCTGTTACAACGGCTTCGGCATCGATAGTGTAGCGATAGGGGTGGAGTTCAGAGGATGAAGGGGCAGATCAGGGATACAGCAAGAGAGCTTAAAGACACCGGTATTGGGTGGAATACTGAGTGACTGGTCATCACATAGCAGAAGAAGTGTGGACCCGCTCGGATAACGCTTGCAATGCAACTCTGTTCGTCTCAATGAGACTCAGGCACATGTGCAATGGCGCTTCCAACGGGCTAATTATCATAGACGACCATCAAAATAGAAAATTGTCTCATCGCGCGCAGTGGCATTTGTATGAGATTTACAAGGCCAATAGTTCACCACATGTCTTAGAAAAAGATGAGTGGTACAAGCTGCTGGCATCCGGAAGTCATGGGGACGGAACCTGGCAGGAGTCCGATGAAAACGCACCATTGACGGGACCCAGAAGGTCGAAATAGTGCTGTCTGGTGCTTTTTCAGACTTGTCTAAGGCTGTTGACTGAGAGTGAACTGTGATGAATTTTACCTCTGAGCTATACAAAAGCCCTACTACTCATTAGTAATATAAAATACGTCCGTATAGCTTTTGAGTGCTGTGTCGTACACAGTCCCTAAAAGCATAGTCCTAGCTCTTGGGGCTAACCACCGTCCTCTGCACAGTCTGTAAGTGGCATGTCAGTATACGATGAGCCGGGCTATATCATCGTCAACTGTCAATCGCGCAGATCCGCAGCTGTCACAGATGGCGAAGTGGCACTAGCTGCTGGCATCCGGGGGTAGGAACCCGACAGAGGTCCGATGTAAACGCACCACTGACGAGAGCCAGAAGCTCGAAACAGCGTAGTTTGGTGTTTTTTCAGACGTGCTAAAGCCTACTGACTGAGAGTGGACTGTGAGGAATTATCTCTGAATTATACCAAAATCCGCACAACTCATTAGTAAAAGACGAGTAGCCCAGCCTGGAGAAAAATAAGTGACATCATCAGCGTTTGGACAACAATTCGACAATGGCGTAGTTCACCAAAACCTTCGGATCAGATAACTTAGTCAAATGTCTCAAATTGAATCCACCAAGTTATCCTCAATTTGATATGTTTCACTGCAGACTACTGAGTAAACAGTTAGAAACGAATCCCACCTTTGGGATATGCAGGTAGGGAGTACCAACGGTAAATACTACCGTCGATCTTTACTTCCTTTCTTGTTGTGAATCTCTTTGTTTGGGCTCTCTAACGAAGAAACGCTCGTATGTTCACTTGCGCCAGCGGTGCGCATAATCATGCGAGCGCGTGTCGGATTGTTTAACGTTCACACGCTATATGGAATCTCACAACGAGTAACCCTTGTTGAACCAATAAACCTACAGCTCTAATGATCATCGCATAAGCCCTATAGGTGTGTGGTGCAGTTGAATTGGTAATGGCGCCTGTTCTGGTGATCAAACTGCTAAGGAACTCATCCTGTGCCGTTTTTCAAAAGGTAATGCGGTATGAAACAGGGTCAATGCGCACTTTATCAGGTTGCGAAAGCGAGGCAGTTATGCGGATATATCACCAGAACTTTCTCCCTACCTGAAGCACGACTTGAGTCATTCAGGACAATCGTAGGACCGACTCTGGAATATTGCAGTATCGTTCACAGCCAATTGAGAAAGACAGAACGGCTCCGGAAAGTGTCCAACGATCATTTATCAAGTTGGTCATGGGGAGCTGCTCAAACCTGACTTATTATGATCGCTCCAACTGGATCCTCTTTGGCTGAGACGCTTAAAGAACAACCTGGTTCTCTTCTACAAGAATATAAACTAACGGATTTAGGCAGACTGCACCGCACTTGAACTACGAAAGACTGCAGTCTACCCCACACGAATGGCGGCTACTTGATACGCACAAACCATTCAAGTCGTGCAACTCGGTCGAATTTCTTCTTATTGAGATACACTGATCTGTGGAACAAACTACCCCTACAGATACGCATGTGTACAAGCTATGTCACGTTTCGAAATTCCCTTCAGACGTTCCTCACTATACCAAATGTGTGGAAGATATTTCACTCACAGCAAACGCTAGCAACATTAACAGAAGCTGGTATAAAAACATATGAGCAGATATTCGTTTTCAACTAGCTTACCCACTACATGTCATTACCTACAATACCAAATCCTGTGTCTTTGCAGTCTAGTAGCCCCTCGCTTTTATTATCTACTCCTGATGATACAAACATCAGTAAATTTTACATATGAGGTGCACGGGTCTAGGACCCGAGGAAAAAAAATCATGATTCGAAATTCTATTAATAAACTTTTCATTACTATTATGAAACGTATTCATTATACAAATGATCGCTCCCACTTATGGGGCCGTGTACCGTCTGTCGATAAATACACAAAGTTATTTATTTATTTACTGACAACACTATCGTATTCGATCACTGCTGTTGTTCAAATAACCACCCATGTCTGGTGAGGACATTGAGTGGACACTGCTCAGATCAGAAGGTTTGGCTTCGGCAGCAAGTTACCTAGTGTAGTACATGATCCTCTTCTATCGGACTCATATCAGTGACGTTAGTTAGATTGCGCTCTTCGAATACCAATCAATTGCACTGTAGTTGAGAGAAATGCAAAGATTTTCAGAAATACATGGATGAAACGAATCTGCGCAGTCAGATCGGCACGTGGATAGTACTTGGATGAGACCAAAGGGGTTAATCACAGCAGGAGTATGTGATGTTTCAATTAAACTATGGTCATGGAAAAATGGCGTTGTTGAATCATGTTCGCCATTCTATTTACTTTTGCCATCAACTTTCCGTTGCTAGACAATTCTGTCAAGTTACCGCCAGTTTGGTTGTTCATCATAATGATGAAGTTACTGGCGACTGGATCTACCGGACTTCTGTGCAAAACTCAACACTGGAGAGTTGAATCAAGTTGAATAGTGTATTGTCAGAGCCAGAGTCTCGCAGAAGCAGAATTCCGATTCGGTGACCATGGGGTTCTGCGAAGCTTAAACTGCTAATGCTATACCGGTTAAAATGCATTAAACCGGAAAATAATAGTACTAAGTCTTCGGGGGTCATTGGAATAGCCCACAGACTTCACGTACGGATACAATGTAACAGCAACGAAGGGGTTCAGTCAAAATACATGTGGAGATGGTAGAGTTCATACAAAATTTCGATGTGTCCGATAATACTAAACGTATGATAATAGTGAACTAAAAGTGGACAGCAATCTATCCTCACGTTACTGATTACACGAAGCTAGTTTTCAATACCACTTCGGACGAAAGATGAAAATGATGTTTGATACAGGTGAGCGTTACCTCGATGGGCCACTGTACACGACTCACTATAACTGGAGGGCGCTTGGTCAGGAGTGCACGGTAATCCGTTCAAAAACTTGGTAAGGGATGGTCTGATGGGGTTACAAAGCCATGGACCACGCAGCCTGACGTAGCGAGAAGCAAGATCTGCGATTTCCTTCTGCCAAGTGTCAGTGAGGCGCTCCATCAGACGATTCGGCGATGCGTAACCGGCAGAAGTGTAGGCTGCAAGGAGACGTGGGTTCGCATGTCGCTGGACCCAGTTTGCGTTGTTTAGTATCAAAAGTAGACCACGAACCTAAGAATATAAAAAATAACTGAGCAGCGTGGTTGACGAGGACGCGATGCATTGAGTAACAGAAGTCGTCATTCGTTCACCTGTGAAAGGATAGCCGATTGGTTTATCTGCCTGTTGCTCGTCGAAGTTGGGTGTGAGCGGTCGGGTTGCGTTGCCTCGTTTTTGCCGGGTTTAAGATGCGGAACGGTAGATCTGAAAGTGGAGAGAGGAAAAAGCATTGCGAAAAATATAAGCGCCGACATAAGGAGGTAACCAGAGAACAGGACACATTGATGGGACCACAAAAATGTGACGTCAAGCTGTGGAGCGTGCAAAAAGGTCAATATTAAGATTGGGTACATAAGGTCGGATAGCATTCATGTCAGCCGAAGTAGCATTTGGTATCATTTGTCCGAAAGGCTATTAACAATACAAATGCACGAGGAACTACGGTTGATACACACGAGAGCCTGTCGTCTATCCCTATGGGTTGAACTAAGACGCTGACTAAATTAGCGCGTGTTTCGCAAGAGTTAGCTGGACTAAAGTATTGGTTGCCGAGGACAGTGAGCACGGAATAACAACGTATGGCGTAGAAACCGGCTAGTTAGGAATAGACACATTGATTCGGTATACTAAGGTACGTGGATGATGCGTGAGTTGGGGGCGATGAGGTAACGTGATAGTAGACAGTGGACGGTAGAACTCAGCATAGCGACAGGAATACCGAGAACACTAATTACCACCAAAAATAAGCTAGTATCGGGCATGTGTAGACACATTTCGTGACTAGAGCGTCTAACCCAGGTAGGTGTGCTCAAGCGCCTTAGAGACGCAAACCACTGTGAAAGTGGTGGTGGGCCATGAGAGCTGGGGTGAGTGCGCAAGGTCGCTGATGGAGGTGGACCAACACGAGGATCATTGCAGTCACAGGGTGTAAAAGAACAGCACTGACGGAGGGAAATGGATATGCAATTCAATAAAGCCAAAAAGCAGGTCTGAGGAGAGTATAGGTGTAAGTGACCGCAGGGGGAATATTTGCTTTTAAGGGACGTATCTTGCTAAGAACGAGTAAATTAATGGTTTAGGTACAGATTTCCGGTCTTTCATTGGAAAACTTTAGAGAATTCAGGGAATAAATTAGACAACCGATAGAATTTAAGATAATCAGCATTACAGGCGTGGAATCTTACTGTGCTGATAAAAGCCACCGTATCAAGAGCAGGGATATACACTGGGAGTACGACAACAGTGTAGGTCTACCGATCAAGCAGACATCTTAATTGGCTAGCACGGATTCAAATGCAGAGACGCTAAAGAGTACCACAAAACGATAGCCTATTACGGCACGGAGAAACCGTTGATGGTATAGTCCGCAACTAACCCGGGTGCAGCACACATGTGTACGAGCCTGAGCTTCGATGTGAAATCGCCAATTATAAAATAAGAACCTGCTTGCCCCAGTGAGAAACCAGTATGACATTGAAGAACTACTCGGAGGACTTATTTCTAAAAAGTGTTACTGAAAATGAAAAATCTGGAATCCATAACGAAGAACCGGTGCTGATTAAAGCAATGGGATGTGAGAACACGAGCGATGCATTGAGCACCACCAACTCATGACGATTCCGTTGCTTCGCCGTCTTAGGCATTTGACGAGACTCGTGTTGTGTGGAATCTCGAGTCAATGTGGTAATAAGCATAAAATCAGTGACCAGATTAACGGGGGAACTTCAGTGTGTACTGAAGACTATTTCACTGCGTTGAAACCAAGCATACAAGATAATTGCGTATGACAAACTAATACGTTTGATGTATGACGTCCATTAGCACCGGAGAAAAAATCTCTCGACCAGAATGAATCGCCGACAGAGTGGGCAGTCGGTGCAAATGGAGAAAACGGTTGCCGTTGCAAAAACAGGCCAGAGGTGATTAAGCTTGCTACGGAGGAAAGCCGATTCATATACATGTCGCACAGTTGGGAAATGTTTTTGAACAAAGATGTAAATTGATTGTTAGGGGGTGAGAAGTTAAAATGCAGCTAAACAGGAGTAGCGAACTGAGATGGAAAGTGCACCACAGCTCTTAAGGATCGGTACACTTGTAGCAATTTCAATGACTGTATGGATCCCACGCCGAAAAGCACGAATTATGGTCATAATATGTACATCCTAATTCATGGTAGTGGATTGTAGATATTGTAGCTGTCACACTGACCACGGCCACAGGGTTATACAGCGACAACCGACCAATTTGATAGTGCGCCCCAGCATAACGCAAAGGAAACCACAACCAACTGTACGATTTAAGCCGGTAAATTGACGGATGCTGTCCTCGTGTTCCGCAATTCTCGCAATAAGTCGCCATAGATTTCGCCTAGCGTGTGGACACAGACACCCAACAATGCTAATTCCTACAGCATTTTTCACTTCGTCCGGGACCGGTGATCGAAAAATCGGCATGCTAATCCTTACTAATGTCAGCTTTTTGAAATTTGCCAGAACTACATCTCTACATGAGTTAGGATTGTGAACGATACTTGTGTGTGCGTTTCGACAGAGGGGACAAAATTCACACCGAAATTGAGATGAGACGTAATGCAGCCACACGCGGCTGTAGGTCTTTGATTATAGAAGCTGGACATAAGGCCGCACTCAAAGCAATGTACTGACCAGTATTATGACAGGCGGAAATTCATGAACGCAGACAATACGTATAAGTGACTCCTTAGCTGCCGTTACCCGCATTTTTAGGAGAACAATGGATGAGGCGTGTCGGAGGACACGATGGTTGCCGCGACGCCTTTGATGTTTACGCTAGATTGCCACAAGACATGGCGACGCCAAATACTACCGAGCCAGACACACATTAACGCGTCGTCTGTGCATCCAGTGAGTAAACCAGTGGAGAAATGTGTGGTAGAGGCACTTATTAATCTGTGGCCGAAGAAAATGTGGAAACCCCATTTCAAGAGCATAGCCAAAACAGTGCAATATTTTCTTGCCAGCTGGTTTCACAGATCGGAATGCGATGGCGACATCAGTTTAATGCGCAACGTTTCCATCATACTTCGGGTAGTTTGATAAACTAATACTGACTACCAACCCCTTTGATCTGTTGTCACCGTCAAGGAGTGAAAACTTTCTTTAACATCAGTGCTGACATTGATACCCCATTTAAAGTTAGCTCGAAGAGAAGAGTTCAAATGAGCTGCTTGTGCTCTGCAACTGGTGTCCATAAGGCCATAAGCATTCTTGACGATACACAACGGCACAAACAACAACAACAACAACAACCAGCAAAGCAAAAGCAGCCATTGATAATCTCCCATCCGTTAGAGCAGCAATATATCGCTTCAAAATAAATGTTCATTGATAAGCCAATGACAAAAGTCGTTCAGACTGATAGAGGAAGGCTACCATTTTCTCAATGGGCCCTTGATACTTGGGATGAGTCCACGGTAGCTCACCGGTAATTAATATATCAAGTGGTGTAGTGGGGCATCGTTGAGTGAAAACCTTGACGAATGACATAAAAACTAATAGATTGTATGAAGCAACCAAGTGAAGTAAAGGGATGCAGCCGAGATAATAAGGGCGTTTCCGCACGACAAGTCGGTAAGCTATGTTGTCGGGTGAAAACGTGCACGACACATACGTAAAATGAATGCAACAGAGCCCCGAGAACTGTGGCTTGCCCCTTGGTGAGCTCAGGAGCGCAATGAACCGGTTAATGCTCCTAAGAACTAGCCGGTATGGCAGCAGCCGTGAGCACATTGGACAAAAAGGGTGGTATAGAAACTAGGTTCAGAAAGAAAAACAAGCAGAGAATATTGGAAAAAGCAAAAACAAAACATCTCATGAAGACAACTGATAGCGAGAGATGATCACAGCTGAACAGGGTTGATCATACAAGCTTTAATGACCATTTCCACTGTTGGAACAAGCAGCAAAAAGACAAACAAACTAGGTGTGCAGCAAATAGAGAAATTGCAAATATCCTCAGCTGAAAACAGTCAGAAAACTGATTTTGAGAAACAATTCAAGGAGATAATCTAGTTATGAAAAAACCAGGCGGTTGCTGAGTGATTCGGGGGGCGAATAAACGATGAACCTTAAGTTCGGAGGATATTGTTATGAAACATTTCGATTGTTCTCATCAGTCGCAAACACAATACAAGCCGAATTCCTAGACAGTTATATATAGGGGAAAATTGGCACACCAATCAAAATATCAAAATCAAGACCACGGTAACCTAATTGTGATTGTCTCAATAGTTTCTGTGCACACAACACAGGTTGATAAGCCCTAATTAGCAAAGCCTCACTAATTGCCAAAATTATCGGATCGTTGTTGCGTAATAACACCTTGAACGCTGTCTCCGGTTCATCCTCGGATCCACTCCGTTTTGTTGCGTCATCAGTTGTTCCAACCACCTCGGTACGTGTTCAGCTACCCTGTGAGCTAACTGACGGTCAATCCTGCCTATGTAAATCTCACCGCAACCGCAGGTGAATTGGTAAACGACGTGAGAGACCGAACTGACTGATGACTTGTTCTGACGGTCATGAAGATGGATGTATGGATGAGTCGCAACTGGGTGGTCGCGTAGGTGCGCGTAAGGGCGGACCGGAGTTTATGTCCGCTATCATTTGATACATGGTCTCCTTTGAACGGCAAGAACAAATAAACACTTTTTCTCTGCGGTTAACCCCGGTATTTTCTCCTTGGGAAAACTGCTGTGAATCTGAATGAACTTCTCAGGATACCCATTTGACACCAAGGTTTTGAACAAAATTCTTCTTCAGCTTACAACATTTCTGGGCTGCATATCCGTCTAGCTCTGTAGAAGAGAATTTTCACTAGGCCACGTTTGTATGCGACCGGGACAAAGCTGGAAAAGTGGAGGTATTGCATGCTCTAAGTTGCCTTGAGATGAACGTGAGCTGTACTGTAACATCAATCCGTCTTTTAGTGATTTTATCCAAAAATGGAAGACTATCGTGTTGCTCCAACCCATTGGACACCGATAAGTTTGGATGAATTGAATTCAGAACTGTCGACCTCCGCGCGAAATGTTCGTTGCTGGTGAAGACTAGGATGTCATCCACATACCGCTTGTACAACTGGAACCCGTGTCGCTGGGGCGGAGCACATGTACTCAGTGGACGTTAACTCCCTCTTCACAAACGTGCCCCTAACTGTGACGGTTG